GACCCGCTGCACCACGTCAAGTCCACCTACCCCTGGAGGGAGCCCAACCACTCACATGTTAGTACACAATTATATTTTTCCATCCTAAAACGTGGGAAACGTGCCAGCGACCACCTGAATTCGCCGAGGAAGCGATAGTCCATTTACATTCACATTGGCAGATGCGTTGCCTACCCTTAATCAACGGAAAAGAAGACACACATAAAGATAATATTTCCCCTTGCGCGTTTTCCACCGTCAAATCCACTTACCTTACCCATTCTTTCCGTGAAGGAAATTTGGTGGGAAAGGAAAGAGACTTATATTAAGCCTCCAGCACCACACTTACACACGGCTGTCTTCTGTGTGGTCGAGGTATTACACCAGGCAAACCAGCCCTGCACTGCGAAGATGATAAAACTGACTCTACCTCTGTTAAAATACCATTAAATAAGACAAATGTAATACCAGCAATCAAGATTTCACATACTGGTGAAGTGCGGTAGAGAATACGTAAGAAATTTCTATTAAAGTAATTCGTTATGTGAATGAAACACTTTTTTGTGGTTCCCTATTTTAATCGACTTCCAAAAGATTATCAATATGTCTTTATTTTTTGACCGACTTCCCAAAAGAAGGAGGTAATCAAGTCGTCTGTATGTTTTTTTTCTATGTTCCGTTCCTCTCTTGATTTTTGGTAGACGACTGCTTTTTGGTAGACGTCTTCTATTTTTAAATAGTAATTAACGATTATTCATCTTTTTATTGCAGACGCTGAGAGCGATTACAGTTGAGGAAATGAGTATTGAAGAAGCAAATCAAGAGGCGAATAGAAACAACAATCAAGATCCATTGGTAAGTTACTTCAACAAATATCCCATTTAAAACAAATCACAGTTTTATTCTATTCGATTGTCATGTTTGATTTTTTATTATTTTTTAAAATTTCCAGTTGAATATGTTAATGCGTCTGCAAGAAGCAGCCAACTACAGCGGTAACCAAAGCCAAGATTCGGACAACGCGAGCATGGACTCGAATCTCACACACGACAGCTCTATGGGCAACGAGCTTTAATTACTATTGTATTGAATAACGAATATAATATTCACTACTACACAAACTTATCTGGCCAGGTATAGTGGCGCTGTTATTAAAGGGTTCTAACAGACATTTAATTGGGCGTAGAAAATTCATATTGAAGATTCGACACATTTAATTTAGTTTTACTCTTGTCGACTAGGCCAGATAAGTTTGTAGAACTATACTCTTATATGACTGCTTATAAGTCCGTAGTGACAAACTGTTTGAGTATTGCTACCTAAAAAAATAATCCATCTTTTCAAATGATATAAGGTAGTTTATATAAATTTATTGTCACTAAAAACTATATAAAGCCAAATATTTGCCATATGTACGATATTTATATTTATTTTCTTTAAGAATTATCTAAGTTAAAATTGTTTTATATTTGCTTTACCGTTTATGCGTAGATAGGCACTTACCTAAATTACTGTCCTAGTAAAATTACTCTCTTCAGTTTTTGAATGATTACCTATAGTCACATAATGCTAATTTATCGTACTAAAGCAACACAATGGGCCTCTCTTAGTCATCATTGAACTACTCTAGATCGAATAGTAGAGAGAGGTCTGATTATTAATATAAAATTGTCCTGACCTTACGTCGCGCACAAAAATCTAAATAAAACACATATTTGTAAATGCCTATCTAATCTACACACGCTTTTTTACCAACCGAAAGGATTTTTCTCTGCATATTTGCGTCCTTCAGCAAATATTAAAAGCATGAGTTAGACCTTTCTGTATCTTAACCATTGATGTGATTTTTTTTAAGTCGATTTAATCAATGAATACGACCGATAGGGTGTTCTCTGTTGGACCTTCGGCCTATTGGTCAATCGGCACAATCGGATGTTTTTTATTGGGCGGATTTATCGATATTCCGATCGGCTCAACGGAAACACCCGAACGTTTTATAGAATTCACTACTGCAGTGCCTCGAGCGACATTTTACATTTTTGTAACGCCGACAGTATAGGACTGTTATTTATATGAAGCATCGCTTTTACTATTGTTATATTTTTTCAATGTTAGAATAAACCACGTTTGTATTAAGACAATGTATGTAAAAATATTATGAAAGTGTAATTTTTATACCATTTTCATATAAAACTCATGTACCTAATAAAAAATATTAAGATGTAAATAAAAATGTTTAATATAATTTCTTTTCTATGTGATTACACTAACCGCTAATAGCATAAACGGATTACTTTGTATAGTAACAGTGTTCGGTATGGATTGACTTGTGTGCATAACTGAAACGTGATATCTACAATCTGTGCTTTACAAATATTGTCAATAAACATTGATTACATTAACATGTCTTTTATTATTTCTCCCTTACATCCACTGCGATAAAAAAAACCATTGATATATACTGTATGATTATTAACGGACGAATCAACGGCTTTCTAGAGCCTCAATAGCTATTGCTTAAACGCAAAGTATGTTGCCCGATTACCTATAGTTTTTTGTAAAAAAAGTAAAAATTAAAATTTGCTAGTACGAACAAAATAATTTGTTTACAATGGTCACTTTTTTCTTGAACAAGCCTATTCATTGGGTTTTTGTACCGTTTTACCTTTTTTGAAATAACTCACACAAGAACAATATAAAGAAGAAATTCTTGAAGTAAAATTTCTTACTTTTACGATTTTTTTTTTACAAAAAAATAAATAACTTTTTAAACTACAAAAAATCAGGCAATACGTTGCGCTGAAACGACAATTATTTAGGTCCTCTGCCTCCACAAAGTTAATGAAAAGGAGACAAATCCTTGATGAGATATATCGAGTTTTTCATATCTGAAATCATATTTTAGAAGCACAGATTCTACAGGAATGTAGAGTGTAATAAAAAAAACCATTTAGTTCAATTCATTTATTTATTGCTTAATCAGTATTTAAAACTAACATCAGAATTACATATGACATTGAGAAAATTTTGGACGGCACAAGTCATTTGCTATAAAAGACTAGAATCAATATTGACTGAAATTTCTAAAAGGAACATCTGATTCTGTGACGCTGCTAAATAAGGCACAACCATATTTTGTTATTAAAAATTTTGGAACATATTGCTTATAAATACAATGTTATAAATAAAACTACAGACTAACAATTATATGCATATTGATTTGAAATCATCAGTAGGGCGGAATTTCCACTTAGCGGTCATCTACCGTATGACGTCGTTTGTTTTTCCACTAACGCATCCGTGACCTATAAAAATGATGTTCTCAAAGTAGGTTTAACTGCTAAGTGGAAATAGGCACTAATCTCAGGCAGTGTATTTCAATGTGTTATTCAACACAATATGGATTTATTAACATTATTAGTTAACTTTTCTGATTTCAAGCATCACAATAGTTAAAGGAACTGAACCATAAAAGGCTTATCTATGAATTCTAATCATTTAACAATATATGCCAATAATATAATTCATGCAAAAATTATAAATATAGTGTGTATAATTTTTTTAGTTTCCAATAGGCAGTAGTATAGGAATTATCAAAAACTGATATAGACAGAAATTTTTGATTGAACCTTTTATAGATAAAACCAACAAAAAGCATGCACATTTGATCGGACAAAACAGAGATAGCAACAATTTTTTGTCTCTAACTAAAAGAAATTTGATTTTAGTTCTAGTATACCACACAAAATCAAATATTATGCCTTATTTAGACATAAAACTTAGACCTCAGCAAATATACATAAGTAAATGCACTATATACAGTACATAGTAAATGCTGTTTATTACATACTATTAACAATCATTCATGCTCTATTCCCATACTATACATACATTTCAATATTTTCTAAGTTAACATGTTCACTGCGTAACAGGCCGATAGCGGCCTGATGCGGTACTTAATTTGCTGTGGACGAAGAAAACTATGTCCCTCTTGTTTACATTACATTACATAAAATGCATACATTGTTTCCAGAATTATCATAGCAATTTAATCTAACCTAGTGCTAGTGGGTCTAGAAAGACCTGCCACGCATTGGCGGAAATACCATTGGGGGCGCATTTTGGCCCGCCGCATCAGATTAAGAACTATGATTTTACTTGCCACAGTAAACATGTTAATAGTGTAAATTTTTAAGGTTTTATGTTTTAATAGTTTTATTAATATGATGAAAACAAATTTAAAATCCATGTACAAGTATTTTTCAACTTTACCATTTTACTAATTCAAAGTATAGATAAAAAATATCTTAAATGAAATAAACAATTTTAATATTACTATCTGTCAAAGTCACAAAAAGTTTGGGACTCTTAAATGACATACTCAGATATGTTAGTTATTAAATTACATAATACTCTAAATTAGCAAAACAAATTAAAACCAATCCTTTTAGTAAATCCCATAAGAGATGTTTTTGTGGCATCGGTCAAACTGTTTAGAGTATTTTATGACCACCAATCATATACAAAAATCAAGTATAGTTAATTAATTTATACAATAAATTTAGCCTATTAGTAACAATCAATTCCCAAGACCAATTCATAGAAGCTATTAGTCATTTAAAATATCTTAGCAGTTCAGTCACACTTTCACTTAAGGTTGTGTTCTTTGCAATGATTTGTTTGATGTTCAAAACTGCCAAGATATTTGACAATTATTATACATATTCTTAAGATAACTTATGATTTTTAAACTAATGATATGGCTATACATATCATTTGATAGAGTAGAATTTTTAACTCAATATAAAGTACAAATCCATCAATTCATAGATTCCTAAAATATAATATTTATCTCATATTCATTTAACAAACAAAATAACTTTTGTGTATTTAAAAGCTATGATGTATGGATGGATATTAAAAAAAATCAAAAGTTTACACAATACAGTATACAAGCACATGTATTGAGTTGAAATAAAATTTTATAAAATGTCTATTGTATAATTTCCGATATAATTAATTATAATAAAACCATAATAATCAGTTTACCTACACAAACCTACCCGGTCCAACTCCTAGGAATTTACAGTAAAATCTAATATCTGTAATTGCTTACATTCTTGCACTGGAAAAATACCAAAATCTTTACCCACAAAAAAATTTGCACAATTCACTTAAAAACCAAATTAAAAGCCAAGTCCCATAATTTTATGAATTATATCAATTAATACCATACCATAAACATAAATTAAAACATCACACTTTACAAATAAACATAGTACAAAGTTTCAAATAAATAAATTTAGGAATATATTGAGTATAAATATATGTTAGTACAAATTTTGCTTATACTCAGTTTATTCCTAAGTTTAACTTTATACTGTATTTCTTTGTAAGGCTGTAAATCAATAATACTTTAAACAATCACTATCTAATCACTATGAATGTCCAAACTAAGATTAGACAGGGATGGAATCGGGGATTCGGAAAAGTCACCAAAATCATCATCAAGTAATTTAATACTATCATGAAAACTTTTCTTTGAATAATTCGATATTGATTTAGATTTATTACTATATGTTGAATTTTTATCATTGTTTTTTTGTTGGGAAGAATTACTTTTGTCACTAAGAATATCTGCTACATCTGATGTTGAAATAGAATCTGGTGTTGTTATAGACTTCTGATCAAAGTTGTCTTGTATTTTTGGACTGAAATCAAGTGATTGATCATGTATTGAATCGGTTGATTTATCTTTACTTACATTTTCTTTTTTACCAGAAGCAGATGTAAAATCTAAACTATATTCTGTTAAATCTTTTCCTGAACTCTCTGATTTTGTTGATTCATTTTTATTGTTGTTATAATTACTAACATTTGTTGTTTTTGTTGAAGGTGTTTGTGTATCTAATTGTTTTTGTGTTGAATGTTTTCCAGTATGTACATCTGTCTTCTCTTCGGTGAAAGGCACTCCTGTTGTGTTGAATAGAATTTTGTCTAATGGACTTAGAGATTTGATTTCCACATATGATGTTGATTCACTATTACTTATATTTTTATTTGTTTCAGGACTTTGTATACTTATGGTAGTATTTTTTAAGTTAGAGTTATTATCAGGTATATTTGGATATGTAGTGTTGTGCGGACTTTGATTTGTAACTATATGCTCACTTGGTATATACTCTGAACTTGTTTTTCCCCGTGTGGAGTCACTTGAAGTATCCGTGTCTGAATTATCGAGCTGTAAACGAAGATGCAGCTTATTTTTTTCATCAGAAGAATTATCCGAGTTAGAATTACTCAAACTCGTAGTAGAGTCTTCATGAACTATATACGTGTTATTTTGCTCATCTTTAAAAGTGTTGTCACTTCTTTTAACGTGTCTCTCATTATGTCCAAAAGTTTTTGGCTGCTGTTGGAAAACATTTTTTATAAGAGTAACTAAAACAGGTTCTTTATTGTTGTTACGTTTTAGTTTCAATTTCTCAAGCAACAATTTAGTTCCCTCGTAAGAATACTCTTTTCCTTGACGCGATTCTGACATATAAACAAACAACGTGTTTTTGAGATTACAATACTCAAGAAATTCATGAATTAAGGAAAGACAGAATATACCTTCAGGTAACTTCAATATACTGTCTAAACTAACGTTTTGTTTGATATTTTCGCAGTCATCCTCAAAAACTAAGAAAATGTTTGCTCTCAGTAAAGCGCGTATTTTGGCAAGTGATCCGTTCTTCTCCAACGCTTCGACCACCAAGTCACGTAGTTCTGTATCTTCGGATTGAGCCATCGTTATACTGTTATTTCACGGCACTTTTCATTTAATTTAATGAAATGCTTTCTCAAACATAGTTTGTAAAGCTTCTTTACACTTGACAATCAAAAATAACAACAATACAACACATTAACACAATTGTAATCAAATATGTACACAATGTCAATATAAATACAAACAAATGTGCCAATTTTTGATCTATGGCATGGCAACGCGTGTTGATATACTCTATGGCCAAAAAAGATGCGTTCAAAATATTACCATGTTTATGGGTAATTTCTGGTAGGTTTTGAGTTAATTTTACAAATTAATAAGCAAATGGGTGATTAATTAATTTATTAAGCGAAAAATATCTTAACCGAATAATGCAAGTTACGGATTTTTTTCTGAAATAAAGGCGTGATAAACTCTATATATAATTTTACTTAAGTCATCAGACTTTCTAAACATAAATCTCATATGGCTTAAAATTAATGAACTTTAATTTATATCAGGATTATTCGCACTTACGGTTGAAATGAGCTCCGACTTTTATATACATAATATTAAGTCAATTTACACAGATTTAAAAAGTTATTAAATCCATTTTACAATTAATATAGACGAGTACACATTATTTTGTGCATTGAATAATACAAAAGGTCGTTTTTTTCTGTTCAAGGTTTTCCGTAAAATTAAAAAATTCAATAATTTCACTTACGAGTCAGGGATAAAGCAACATATACATTTAATATTATATGATTGTGAACGTGCTCGTTTACAAGGGGTGAAGGCTTGCGCCGGGAAAACGTAGGAAAATCAGGCAGTCGGGTCGAGCAAGCGGGAGAGATGGATGTGTAGTCCGCTGCGCTATATTTAACATTATAATGAAACTTTTAGTCTGTTTTTCATCCATATCTTGATTCACATTTGTTAAAGTTAATAATAAAACAGTGTTTATTAGTCCTACAATAGTTTTAAGGACAATTTTATTAAGTGCCAGTAAGGAGTGTTAAAATACTAGTGGCGGGAAACCGTTTTGATATCTCGCTTGACGTGTTGTGTCCTATGTGTACATAGAGCGAGAGGAGCCGTCTGCCCTAGAGGGCGGCCGACATGCTGGATTCGTCGTGAATCGATATTTTTGGACCGCTGTAGAGCAGTCACCATGAGGTCTCAGACTTAATTAAGGTACGCCAGGTGTTAATAATCTAGTATTCGTCAACGTATAGCTCTATCTACGTTATACGTCCTTTACCACCCGTCAAGCGTCAACATTTACGTCACTTCAGTATGCGAACTTGGTGTATGAGTATTTCGAAGATAGAAATTTAAATAAATTAAAAATTTTACAATAATTTAACTGAATATTTCCTTTACTTAAAACAGAAAACAACAGAAATTATACGATTCTCTAATAACAAAAGTATTGGTCTTCGATGAGCACGAGCTGAATTACGGATTTACTTATTAATGAGGGTTACCATTCGGCAGGTAAACGGTGAATTCGTAATATTGACCTATAGATTGATTCCGGCCACATTGAAAGGAAACGGAAAAAAGGACAGCTTCACTCATTATCACGTTCAAAGAAACCCTTTGCGGGAATGTTAGTTTTTACCGCAAAGGAAATTTCCTTTTAAGTTGTTTTATTTTGTAGCTCAAACTTATGCAAACCACGGTTTTTTTTATTTTTAAATAAAAGCATGGGAACAATTCATGGCAGAATTTTTACGCGAAAATTTGCCAAAAAATACAAAAGCCGAGACTTAGATCCGTATCTTTATCCACAACATTACTTAGCTTGTGAAAACCGTTAGTACAAAAAGACAAATAACATCCGCTGTTTGCATACTTATAGATATTTCTCCTAAACATCTAACTACATTTTACTCATAAAATGTTAATTTATCTAACAATTTTTTACATTAATTATTTTTCCTACGTCACTTCAACCTTAATTGGGTGTGAATTTAAAGTTCAAAAGCCCTTTTATTAATTAAGGATGCGTAGGCAAGTGGTACACCTTTAGCGTAAACCACTTAAAAAGCCGCACATACGTTGTGCACACCTTTTAACTTTGCCGAAATCACGTATTTTGTATGAAAAGTATGTTTCTATTTAATATCTACATCAACTATTAAGACTTAAAGATTTACATATACGTAATACGTAGGTATAGAATGGTTATCTGACGTTTAATGAAGATATGTAAAGATTAAAAATAAATACACAGATCTCTTGAAGCAGTTTTGTATCTGAACATTGAAAATACGAGAAGTCTCTTAGGAAAGCAAATCTATAATGATTCGTATCACTACTAATGACTGACTACAAAAGTGCAACTGTGTCTATGGATTTTTCATTATTCGTAAACCACAGACGTCCTACAATCCCAAGGACTTAAAAATTACAGGTTGTAGGAGAAATTTTTATTAATTTTTCTTGTCTGTTACGATACGATTATTTTTACTCATATTAAAATAAGAGAACTCATTTACCCGTAGGATATTAATATTAATCTCATAAATAAATATATCTTTTATTAATGTTAATATAAAATAGTAACTGCTTCTTGCTTCTGTATTGACCAGTTAATAATCCTTTAGCAACTAAAGCATTTACGTTTGAAAGTTTATCGGATTTTAACTAATACGAAAACAAATGAAAATAACCGAATAGTTTATTACACATAACAGGAACCATAAACAATGTTACGCTTCCATTGTTATTCGAATACTTTAGTTGTTTATAAGTCAAATAGTTAAAGAACAAACTCGTTGGCCAATCTGCTAAACAATAGTAACCCCTACAGCCAGATCCAACCATCAATTATGACATTAGCCGACATCCGAACGTCTTCGGATAGAAGAAAATACTATCGGAAACTGTATTTGTAGAACATATCGGTTTAATTATTGTAAATTATACGATTAATTTTAATTTACTACATAATTATTAAATAAAGTTAATACAGACGGGCATAAAATTACAAGACGTTGAGTAGCACTTAAGACATCGTCCGCGTGGAATTAAAAAAATAATAAAAAACCGGTAAAATAATTTTTAAAATCGGCCAAGTAGTTTTTGAGTTATCTATTGACATACAAAATACAAATCTTTCCTCTTTATAATGTTGGTAAAGATTTGTCGTAATCTTACTAAATCTTGACAGGTTATCAAAACGATAGAACATTCCTGACGGGTACTAATTTTGATCGTTTATTACAGTTTTCACAGTAGAAAGTGATATTGTATAATGAAGATACATGCAGAGAAAGGAAGAGAAGAAAAACAAATGCTTTATTCTCTCTCTCATACCTTTTATACCTTTTTTTAAGCTCGCTTTCACAATCCTTTATAATCCTAGATAAGTTGTTTGTGTCACAAGCTTAAAAATGGGACGGAAATTCGCTTAGCCCTTGTAAATCCACGTACTTAAAGTCATGTTCGGGAATTAAGCCCGCCTTTAAGAGAAGGTAATCGATTTTATTCGCTCCTTGAGTGATTTATTTGATAAATTAATATAATAAATTGAAAGAACAGAGTAAGAAAGAATAGAGTAAGAGAAATTCATTTTGTTGCATTATTGTTAAAATTATCGAATTGCATGGGACTAAATATACTTTGGTACTTTAACTGTACCAACGAATAAAAGAATTAAAACTCAAAACGAATTTAAATTAACTGTCTTAAAGTTAGTACTTGTCTTCAATGCATGTCAGGTGGATGTAAATTTTGTTGAAAGATCCCTCTTCAAATTGACTCCAGGCAGAATGTCTAGAAAGGACGTGAGCGTTTTGTCGATTCATATTGTCTTTGCTGATTTTAATCATTTCATAGGTTTTGTAGGGCCGTTTACTTTGTCATAATAAGACTAATGAATTATATAAGTTTATTTACATATATTATATTCCTATATGTAACTAACAATAAAAGAATGAATAAAACTTGTACGAATCATACGTAAAAGATTTCAAATGTTCTTTTTAGAGTCGGCGCCTTTGTGTCGTCAAAAAAATCTAAAATCAATAATCGGTCTCCATCTGAGGTCTACAATATAAATGGTACTCCAAAACGAGTGTGAGATAAAGACTCGTTAAAGTACTTGAGTCGTGTAAGCCGTCGGAGATAGGTCTGATAGCTTTTAGGGATGGAAAAAAATCGGGTCATTCTTTTCTTTAGAAAATACTTGTCTGAACATGCTTTAGTTGTACCGGAACTTTTTTGTGCGGCGACGCGACGCAATGGTTACTCTGGGACACAATAGCGCTGAGTGATGACAGGGAACTGATCAACGGACAAAAGTAACATCGCTCAACGAAAGATTCAATCGAGAAATTTCCTTTTTAGATTGTGTTTCGGTGTACTTTGGGTGATTGGCTTATCAAGGTGGAAAACATTAAATAGTAAATCTAATCTAGGAAGCGATTTATTTTGCAAAGATTATAGGCATTTGTTATTACAATATATGATTTGTATCTGAGTAATATTTTTAGTATTAGTTCTATCTAGGTCTATAAAATATAAACCATTAATTGTAGTAGAAAATAAGTTTCAACAAAATATCTCTCTAATTTTGCAAGCTGAATATAAAATATTTGATGATTCTGGTTTTGTTTCTAAACGTTACGAATGTTATAAAATTGATAAATTTGAATTCACGTGAAAATGAATAAATTATCAACAGTTGGAGTGGCGCTAATGTCAGAGTGCAGTATTACGTCATTGTTTTAAAATAAACATTTCAGAACTGGGTTAAGCTATTCTTGTAATGTAGACGTATGACAAATACGTTACATACTATGAATCTTATTACGTATTTAATGTAACTATTATTTTTGCATCAATTATGTGTTAAAAATAATCTATTTTTCATTGTTTTAAGAATATCTTTACACATAATCGGTTATGTCGTTATTTTCAATTAATTGCGGATTTTAGTTCGTTATTAATGAGCTAGTTTTTATAAAGAGGAAAATGGGACACGTTTCCCGTTTTTCAATGCACGAATCCTTTGTGTTCGCTGTGTCGTTTTCGTTCGTGTAGCATATAAATATTGCTACGCCGTAGACGATGTGCTACGAAATATAACATAAAGAACGCTCATTTATTTGAAAATTGGCTCTGTATGGATCACATGCTTGTTAAAGATTTATCGTGAGATATTTAACAATCCCCTTTATTG